ACACGGCCAGGCCCGGCCTCGCCCTCAGCCGCCTCCCCCTCCCCTGGTGCTGGAACTAACGGGCGCCCATGGTGTTTGCATGCAGTCATTGCATTCAGCAGATCCTGGAGGCCGTGCTGCACTGCCATCAGATGGGCGTGGTCCATCGAGACCTCAAGGTGAGTGCTGCTGCCCCGCCGCCCTCACGGAGCAGCATCCCTGCCCCACAGGGCCGCCAGCAGCCGAAATGTAAACGCTTCCCTCTTTCTGTTTTTCCCCTTGGTTCGTTTATTCTTAACTTGGCTTTACCTACATGCAAGAACAAGCTCGTGCTCACCAGGGGAATCTGCTCGAGGCTGGCCGGTACCTGGCTGTCCAGCACCGGGCAGTGCAGGGAGAACAAAAGGTGCTTTTCAAGCACTGTGTGTGTTTGGAGAATACATGGTTTTCCTCTGTGTCATCCAGAGCTTTTGGGACAGGGCATGAGGGCAACTTCCCATCTCTCATCCAGCAGGATTTGGAGTGCTTCTGGGAAGCACAGTAGCCTTTGCTACTACTACATGTCATGCATTTTAGTGACAGAAGGTCAGCTGCTCTTGGGTCACTGGCACACAGACCTCTCTTCCCTCCAGATTGATGGTTGGGCTGCAAAACATCTTTTAAAAGCAGGAATTTCTACAGTATTCTCACCATGCTCACCTCAGGAGTCCAGTTCCTTCCTTTCTATCCCTTTAACATTGGGATAGAAACCTCTCTAAAGGAAACTGTCTGCTGAGGGAGCATTCCCTCTTTAACTGTGTATATATCCAAATGGCTAGAGGCACCTGCTGCAAGAATGCTCTCTGCCTTTAAAAACACCTTGGCAAGGAAAGAAGCATTATTTTCTTGTACTGTGGGACTCCAAGAGGGAAGGCTGTCCCAGAGCTTGTAGTAAGCTTACCTTTTGGGCACTTGAGCTTCGTGATCCTCAAGGAAAAGAAGATGGTGTATTCTGAAATCAAATGCAAGTCTGAACTATCAGATCCTTTGTGAGGCAGAGGAAAAATGGTGCATGGGCTAAGGCAGCAAAACACGCTAATCCCTTGTGGCACGGATCCTTGGGCTTTAGTTTTTCTTTCTGAATGAATTCTGGGGAGCAGAAATTTCCTCCTAGGATAAGAGTTTATAGTAGTTATGAGTAATACCGTTGGAATCAGAATGCTATCGCCTTTCTTGCCAACATTCACTCCCAAACAAACTGTTCTTGTCTGACTTTATAAGGTCGATGTTGTTGCCATAGAGGAACACAAAGGGGTTTGCTCCAAAAGCTCGGAGAGCAGGATGAGTTTCAAAGATGCAGACCCCAAATTTTGTACCCATTTTGCACTTTTGGGTTTTCCTGTGTCACGGTTGTGGAACAGGAGACTGGCAAATCTCTGACCAATCTTTCATGGCAGCTGGGTAACATGGAATGAGTTTAAATGGAAGAATGTCAGATTTGTCCAGCTGCTCCAGTGGTTCCTGTCCACACTGTACATGCAGTCCTATGCTTCTAGCATCAAAAGGAATTAAAATCCCAGGATTGTAGCTGTGCAAGCTGATGGAATAAGAGATGCTTTCTATTACTTTTCATACATTCACACAAAACAACTTTTTCTTTGGGAATGCATTAAATCCAGCTGTTGCCTGCTCCAGACCATGTGTGGATTTCTTATTCTGGCAAATCCAGGATGAATTGAAAAAAACAGTGAGAAAATGTGTTTCTGCCAAGCTGTAGTGCCCGGTTTCATTTGGGAAACTGAAAGCTTCAGGAAGCAGAAAACCATCCTTCTTCAGTTACAGCTTTGTGGCAAAAGCCAAAAAACCCAAAGAATTAAATGAAAGACTGTGGTGAAATCTGAGCAGAATGCCGTGTGCTAAAAAGAAGATGCCAGGAGCAGAACAGCAAGATGTGGAAGGTGGTTATGGGCTGGCATGGATCCTTAAATTGCAAAACTTGATGGATTTTTTTTCCAATAAGTCAGTCCACAACATGATGGCGTGCTTGGGGGTGGGGAAATTTTGGGTGATCTCATTTTACTTAATTTTCCTTCTAGGCTAATTTAATAGCAAATGGACAGGAGCTTTTGCAGGCTCTTACAACCCACAGAGCTGCTTGTTGCTGCTCTGTTTGTAATCACTGACCTAAGTCAGAATGGTGGTGGGTCCTAGACCCAGAAAAAAATTTACTTAATAGTGGCAACCTGGCTTTACCAGCTAGTAAAAATGCACTTCCAGGTAGGAATTGCAGGTCTTGTCACGCCCTAGCATTCCTGCTTTTGTGATTTTGTGGTTATGACCCTCTTACCTTCCACTGAAGAATGGCTGCTTTAGGTATATTCAAGGAAAAATACACAGAGCCTTAAATACTTGGTACCTTAAGGATTAAAGACCTTTGGAAAAGTATGGCATAAATCACTTTAATTTATTTGTAAGTAATTTTAGCAGTTAACAGTGCCATTGTGCATGCTTGGCTGCTGCCCATCTCCTGGGAGCACAAGGTGACACCACCGAATCCGGGGAACCAGTCCTGGCTGTGCTGTTAATGTTTGCCAAGTAATTGCACTCATTCCCAGTTAATGCATGATAATTACCCATGCGCCTCTGGCCAGCCTCAAGCGACTGCTGCATGTTGGTTAAGCACACAGCCCCACGTGGCATGGCCAAAAAGGCTGTTGTCTTTGGCATGGCAGTAAATCAGGAATTCTGGAAATCAGGAATATGGAGCATACTCATCTGTTGAAGTGGTACTTCTGCAGAGAAGAGACGTGCAAAGGAATAAAAAAACAATCCCAGGAGGAAAACAGAAACCAAAAAAAGCCAACAAAAAACCAAACCAGCATCAGAAAACACAAATGCAGTGTTTTGAACAAAATCACTTTTTGGGAAAGCGGTATGTGCTCGGTGGGGTAGTGTTGGTATTTGATCCAAAAGGATGAGGCTTTTCACTGCTTTTGGCTTGCCTGAAGGTCACAACCAAATAGGATCATCCATTGCTTTAAGAGGCTTATAGAAGAACAGCATTCCAGGAATTAATTACTGTGAACTTCTCTCATTCTGAGAGGAAACCCTGCAGAACTTGGTGACTGTGTGTTGAAATGAGTGTTGTTAAATGGCAGGGAGTGTGACACTGCTTAAATGAGTGATGATGAACCTTGTGCAGAGTCCTCAGCTACGCACTCAGTGTTTCATACAGTGAAGTTGAGGTGGCTACTGATAACTTAAGTGAATATAAATATTATATTTTGTTCTGGGGACCCTTCATCTCAGTTTTTCAAACTGTGAAAATAGACGATTCATCAAGCAACTATTCATGGAAGTTTTTTAATATTGTCTAATCCTATGATATAGCAACAAAGGGATGAGTGAGAGAACAGTGTTGGCAAATTGCTGGAAAAACATTCTTTTGATGAGAGGGGAAAAAGCCACCTTCAGACTAAAGAGTTTGTCGGGCCCATTGTGTTGTTAATTAATAGAAGTATCACCGTGGCTGAGGTCTTACTTAGGCTCAAGCATATATTTTGCTGGATACCTGACATGTATTAAAGATAGGCTTTGCTGAAAGAGGCTTATGCTCTTAATTGTTTCCAGCCTCAGTACATGTGTGGGATTAACTGCAATCACGTAAATAGTCCCTTGGAAGCGATATGATTGCTTCTGGGTTCAACCTGGAATATGCATTGAAGAGTTTGCAGGATTGGGGCCCCACCACCAGCCTGGCTATAGTGATGTCCCTTGTCCCAGACCACTGCAGAAATTGCATCTGAGGAGTCAGCAATACCCATCAAAGTGAGGTTTTGTTATTCTGTAAATGTAGAACAAAACCTTTTTTAAAAATCATGGGGATTGGAAAGACAGGTATGGCAAGAAAATGCTATGAGGATCACAGTTCTCTGAAATAATCTGTCGATTTCTACGGTACTTTTATAGTTGTATTTTTAAAGCAAACATTCATACAATAAAGTTGTCTTTGGGCAATTTACATTTAATGTGTTTGCTAATTGGAGTTAAAAGGATTCATTATGAACGGTAGAATGAACACAATTGTTATGTTCAAATCCTTCACCTTTAATTGTGTGAGCGTACCATAGCATTTCATTTCAGATGTGACCAACATAGCCTATTAAAGAAAAGCAAAGTGGGAACTTTAACTAACGTTCTTATTTGTAGAGGTTCTCTGCAGGCACAAATGTGGGTGTGCTGGTTTTGCTGAAAGATTTGCCATGTAAATACACCTGCCCTCGAAATACAAATACTATCACAGGGCTGTTATTGTTGGGATGTCATGCAAAACATTTCTGTTTGACAGTTGTAGATGCCTGATCCTGCAAACTGCATGGGCTAGACTAGTTATCAATGAATCCCTGTCTTTTGGGAGTTTCCTGTTCCATTTTTCCTGTAGTGAGCTCTGGGCAGTCTCTGACCTGTCCTGTCACACCGGCAGGGTGTCACAGCTCCATATGCCCAGTCTGGCTCACCTCCTTCTCTCCATGCTGTCCTTTTACTCTTCTGGCATGAGGTCGTGAAGGCTGGTTACAGGCCTGGTGGTTCTTTCCAGATAGGAATGGGAAGTGCAAGTTTTGCAATTTCTTGGAAAAAACTCATGGGTTTCTTCTCTTTTTCATTCCTCCAAGTATTTGTCCTTTACCAGACTAGTGTAACTAAAAAAAAAAGGGGGCAGGGGAAATAAAATATCTAAAATGTATTTATTTATCTTCTCATCTCGCTTGTTTTCTCTCTCTGAATAAAGCCTGAGAACTTACTTCTAGCTAGCAAATCCAAGGGAGCAGCAGTAAAACTGGCAGACTTTGGATTGGCTATTGAAGTCCAGGGAGAACAACAGGCTTGGTTTGGTAAGTAAATACCATTTTTTCCTCATCATTTATTCAGCATAGTGGTTAAGCCTCCCCAACTGCCCCACTCTCAACCCAGAGTGAAACGTGAAACGTGCAGCTGTATGACTCTTTGAACCTGGAAAACCTGGGTTTCTGGATTCCTAGCTTGTGCTAGCTTCTGGCAGCTTGTAAGTTTGACTTAGGTGCACACAACCTCTTTTCTTACACTTTTTCCTGAGTATGTAGAAGCAGGAAATACAGGGGACGAACCTGGGAGGGAGACCAGTGGTTTCCCCTCAGGTGACTGAGGAGTAAGACAGTAGGGTAATACTCCTGAGTGTACCTGCCCAGTCGTCAGAACATTTTGTCTGAACAGGTCTCTGTCATCTGGAAACACCTAAAAGTTGGATTCTGAAGCACTTTGGAATATGACTAATGAAAAATAGGGGGGATTGAGCACCTGAGGCTTTAGCCAGACACTAATTACAGATTGCATACTGGTAATTACATACTGGTAATTTAAAACAATAGTGCATGTAGAGTTGTGGTCCACGTGTCTCACGTACCACCCTCTTTGAACAGATGTGAAGCATGGGGAAAAATTTATTGTAAATCCCAGCTGGAAAAAAATACAGCATAAAATATTTATAGCAGCTGCCTGTTCACCCTTAGAGTAGCTAGAAAGTGCAGTTTGAAATGGAACAAAGTGGTTGTAAGCTTGGAACAGAAGCAGAAAGGGTTTTTGGGCAGTGAGTTGGGAGGCTGAGTGTTCACAGCTGTAAGTACATGTAGATGCACAGGCAGTACCATTGCACATATGTTGGCAGCTTTATAAGCCAGCCTGTTGTTTTAAATCCAGCCTTTTTATAAATGGATTTCAGTAATCCACGAAAGATGGAGGAGATTGCTCTTGCACATCAACAAACAGAGCAGTACGAAAGGAGTGGAATAGATACAGAGCGAAACACAAGTGGTTTGTTACGGTGACAAAAGCATCAGGTAAACAGGAAGCATCTCAAGAAAAAATCAGCAGATTGAAGTCGACTTCAGGAATATTTTCTGTACTTAGTGTACCTGCAGGTGATGCAGGGGAGTCTGCAATGCCCTGGAAAATACTGCACTTTTGGCTCTTGTGAAATGCTTGGTATAGACTCATAGCATCATGAGAACTTGGGAGAAGGGAACATAATGTCTTGAAAATATGTATGTAAGGAGGAGTCAGCAAGGTAGTGAAAAGAAAGTAGTCTAATGGGGCACTTTCTTAGAAAAAAAAAACCAAACTGTGGTACTCTATGAGTGGGTTCTGTACCTTTCTTGGTACTTGCTCTGCGAAACCTGTCCAGAGTGGTCTGAGTGCCAGCCTTCAGCTTTAGGACTGCATTAACAGGCAGAACATGAACTTCAATGGACTGGGCATTTTGAACTTTTTCTCACTTTCTTCCAGATTTTTCTGCTTTCTACTGGATTCTGCAGCACTTAGTGACTCATGGCATGCTCAGATTCTAATTATAGCTCTGCATCAGTACGGTTTTCTTTATTTTTTATTTTTTTTTTCCTTTTTTCTGGTGTGGTGCTCTGGTGTTACGGTCCCTTTTCTGCTTGAACCATGGCTATGCCTCAGGAAGAAACTCACTGGAGCTCTGTCTGTTTGAACACAACAGAATACTTTCCTATCTTTTGTGTTTGCAAAACAAACTTGTTCTTTGCCTGTTTGTAGAAAGCCTTACAGGATTTAGTTGAAGCTTGCCACCCTCTTAACAGGTGCTTAACATATTGGGAAGGTGTCAGGTAGGTTGAGCTCAACAAAGCCAGGATTTTCTCTCTCAGCGAGTTGCTTTAGCTAGCACAGGTACTACAAGCAGCAGCACTTTTTTGAAAAGTACACACTTGTTTAGGGATCCCTCTGAGCAGTTACAAAATAAACTGATAAATTTAATTAGCTGTGTCAGTGTGCTTTTTGTATTTTTTTTAACTGAAATCAGGGCTATGTACCCCTCTGTTTGCAGCTTTATACTGCTCAGGATATTGGGGAGAGACTACTTTAGTAGAGCATGTAGTAACAGGACAAGTAGGAATCACTTCAAACTGAAAAGAGAGTAGGTTTAGATCAGATAATAGAAAAAAAAATTCTTCCCTGTGAGGCTGGTGAGGCCCTGGCACGGGTTGCCCAGAGAATCTGTTGCTGCCCCATCGCTGGAAGTGTCCAAGGCCATGGACAGGGTTCGGAGCAAGCTTGTCTAGTGGAAGGTTCTCTGCCCATGGGAGGGGTTCAGAAAAAGATGATTCTCAAGGTCCTTTCCAGTCCAAACCATTCTGTGGTTCTGTGTACTGAAACTGTACCATTTATTTCAGTTTAGATGTATTTTGTATCTTCATTGAGAGATAAGGTTATTTAAATACTATATATATTTTTTTTTTTGTTTTAAAGTTTATTTTCAAGTCTTGCGTAGTAATCTCATTGAGCTATGGTAAATTTTAGACTCAAGACAACTTCACTTCCCCTTTAAAATGAGCCCTACACTCAAGAAGAGATATGAAACAGCACTCTATTTAAAGCCACTTAGAACATCTATATTTCAGCTTCTCTAAGAAGCTTAAGATGTGTTTCCTGTGTGATAGTACTCCTTAACAATTCATAGCTTCCATATCAGGAGCCTGCAAAAAACAAATTTATTTTTCATGACCGTATTTTAACTTTTTGTTCAGTAGAATTTACACAATGTGTTCCTTCATTTCCCCCTCCCACTCCAAAATAATTGGTGACTGCAGGGCACAGGCTTCTTTTTTTCTGTAGCTGTACACTTTATATGTTATCACCGTCTGTCATGAGTTTTGTGGGATCCAGGGTGGTATTGCACAAATGGCATGTGGTCCTTCATGAAAAACAACAAATTCTCACCTCTTAGGAATTCCCAAGCACTTATTTTAGGCAAAGATGCCTGAAAGAGCAGACACACTCACCAAAATGGTGCAGACTGTTAGTGGTCATTAAGTTTTCATCTGTTACAGTGTCCTAAGAAAAGTAATATTTATACCTACATTTTGCATTTCTGCTCAGAGAAAGAAGCATTGCTGGTAATGAATAAAGGATGAAGAACATATAAATTTTAAAGGCCAGATTGCTTCAGAGATGCTTCTTGTAAACTTTTGTAAAGAGGTTTCTAGAAGTGGAATGACCTGCCAGAAATGAGTTCTACAGCGGGGAGATCCTATTAGATGGATGTCTAATTTTGTGCAGCATATATCTCCTTATACATAGGATACAGTAGCTGCTCCTATGATTTGTTGGTTGGTCCCCCATAATGTCAGCATTACCTCTGGGTCATGTGCTGTAAAAAACAAATGGGCAAATGAAGCAGTTGGTGTCCATGGCTTGGGAAATGTTGTCCTGGGTCTTGTGGGCCAAGATGAGAATCACTTGCATTTTGCAGAGCACATACAGGTTTTGACCAGAGTTTTCTTGCCTTTTGACAGGCTTTGCTGGTACTCCAGGATACCTTTCTCCAGAAGTGTTACGAAAAGATCCTTATGGAAAACCTGTGGATATGTGGGCATGTGGTAAGATGTTGTTCTGAAGTCATATTCAGTCCACTGTAAAGTGTCTCTTAAGGGTGAAAAACAATATCCAGGGTACATGATATTGTGCATCAGAAAGTAGGTGTTTAATAAACTTCAATAGTAATTTCTAGTAGAGGTCATTGGATTTTTTGTTACTTTGAGTTTCTTTTTTTAAAAGTTATTTACTAAATTGTGTTATCATGGCATTCTTTTCCATCTCTACACAGCACACTTTCAAAGACTAGCTAAAAGACTAGCTGCAGGTGTATGATGTCTAATTAGCTAGAAGACACACCAGTTCATACTGTGAGCTGGATATTTAGTTTTGGTTCACAGGGAGCCTTAAATTTGGTCTGACCAATAAACCCCATCTGCAGGTGTAAACTGCAAAATTAAGTGTTTTCTGAACTGGAGTACAGAGTAATTGCTTAATCATCCAGCTCTCAAAAGTGCCTTCTGAGGTATTGGCAAGTGGGATCTCCCCAGCTGAGAACAGGGACTGGTTTCCATATTTCCCTTCTACCCACACTTAGTATGTGGTTGTATTTATGAAAGCACTTTTCTTTAGTCACAGGGAATTATCTCTGTCAGATTAGCAGGTGATCTTTTCAATTTCCTATTGACCAAATACAGAGAAATTTGAGTTTCCCAAGTTTGCTTTGCATGAGAGTAATTATAACACAATCTTGCAGACACCAATATAAGCCATGATAAAAACATAACCTAAAAATGCATTTTCCTAGAACATCCAGAATCGTGGAATATTATTTCTCCAGCTAGATAAACATTTCCAGTGTTCCTAATTCGATGTTGTGTCAAATGTTCATTATTGCCTGTGTTTTCCCTAAGAGGTTATCTTGTCAACCCACTTCTACTGTTTTTTCCAGTATGAAAGGGCAGTAGTTTTCCCATCCCGGTGGCTGGGATGATACTCATGAGCCTTTTGTTTTACATTGTTAAACAAATTGGTTGTTAGGTACAAAATTAATTTCTGGAGTTTGCTCCTTGAAAGCCTTTAACACTGGTGTGAATTTTCTGCAGGAGTCATTCTGTACATCCTCCTGGTGGGATACCCTCCCTTCTGGGATGAAGATCAGCACAGACTTTACCAGCAGATCAAGGCTGGTGCTTATGATGTATGTACCATACTCTGTCTGTTCAGTTATTTATAATTGTACTTCTACGCAGGAGTTTCCTAAAGGGAGAAGTTAAGAACTGATGAGATGGTGGCGTATAAATTCTGCAGCATCATCTCAGCTTATTATGTTAAACAGCCAAGAGGCTGTTGGTCCTCAGATTTAGGTAATTTGTAAATGATGATGAAGTAAAGGCAGAGCCTTGAAATTTTTAAGCTCTTATTTGAAACCAGTACAGGATCCTTAGGTAAAATTGTGTAAAGATCATACAAGACAATATACACACTCACATGTGTATTTTTTCCTGAAGTTCCCCTCACCAGAATGGGACACGGTGACTCCTGAAGCAAAAGACCTTATCAATAAAATGCTCACCATCAACCCAGCAAAACGTATCACAGCATCAGAAGCACTGAAGCATCCATGGATCTGTGTAAGTGATTTCCACAGGTTCAGCATGATCCCTTGGCAGACAAATCAGCTTGCGGTTTGCTTCAGCATGTAGTGATTGTGTCTAGAGGACAGCTTCTGTTCTTGTTCATGCAGCTGTGTAACTATAAATTGTAAAATTATAATTACACAGATATGATCAGTGATCTCAGCTTGGGGTAAGATTTTGGCAAATTTATCTCCTTTGCCTTGACTGTGTTGTGCAGAACTTTCTCTGCAAAAATTAGAGTGTTACATTAAATTCTCAGTGAGAAGAAAGTGCAGGAAAGTAACTTTGAATTAGATAATGCTTTGCATCTTCAGTTTCCTGAAATCATTCAGATGAGCATGAGATGTGTAATCAGGGAATTAAGGGGCTTATGAACAGTCAATTTGCAGGTAGCAGAGGCTGCCTGGCTGTTCCTGGATCCAGGACTTCTCTCCTGTTCTCAGCATGTTCCACACCATGACACATAGAAAAGGCTGAGTAAAAGGAGCACAATGGGGTAGTCAGACAAGATAGAAATTAAAGGCCCAAGCTGGGGACCATGGGTGTGTAATATGTGTTGTAGAGTAAAAAAACAGCTGCCTTAAAATAATTGTTTTCCTCTTTCAGCAACGTTCTACTGTTGCCTCTATGATGCACAGACAAGAGACTGTAGATTGCTTGAAGAAATTCAATGCAAGAAGGAAACTAAAGGTAAGAATGAAAACTTGTGCAAAACAAATGGTCTCTGTGCAGAGTTTTTCTAAATATTCTTCTTAAATAACCTATTGCTAGAAGATCAGCTTTTGGCATGAAGATCTTAAACTTTCCATGAAAGTGAATAGAACTTAGCTTTTCTAATTAAAAATTATAACCATCCTCTGTATTTAAACACACTGAAATTATTTTCTTGATGGAAAATCCTTAAAGTTATTCTTCTGAATTATGCTTTGTTTTTTCCTGGCCAGACATGATAACTTTACAGATGTGAACTTCTCTAATGTGTGCATTGCAAAAAGGCTCCTATTCCTCCCTAAAAAAAAAATCTGAGAACAATAGTAAAGTCTCTTCCATATTCATCAGTGCATTTTGAATAATTGCTGTGCCTCTAAATACTCCTGGCTTGTGCATTGCATTCTGACAGGTGGTAAATATTTGAGATATCAAGATTGCCAATAGGTGTGTAATTAGAGATTAAATTACAATTTATGCACTGGTGACATGGCATGTGAGAGGTAGTGCACAGATAATCCTTTCTCTCAGGGTTAATTCAGTAATTGGTGTCATTTACTCGTGTGTTTTCCTTTTTGTTGTATTGTGTTGGCATTCAGAGTTTTACACAAGTGTGGTGCTAATTTGAGAAAATGTGTGTGTACACAGGGGGCCATTTTGACAACAATGCTGGCTACCAGAAATTTCTCAGGTATGTTCATTGAGCTCCAGATTCATGTGGTCTTTATATTCTGATGTCTGTGAAGGCTGAGATCTAATTAGGATTCGTTCAGAAGCATCTAATTATTACATATATCATGTTATTTATTTTCTGTGATGAAGCAAGCAAGTATTTAATCTCCTTGGGCCAAAGAAATTGTCTTATAGGTGACAATCTGATTTTTCTGTAGAATTTGAGCTCCTTCCCTGCTTTTTGACTGTTACCTGTCAAAGGCAGGCAGCATTTTCATGCTTCTTGTTGTGCAGGCAAATTGGAAGTTATGCATATAGCTCCACATTCACAAGCATCACCAAACAACATTTAGAACTTCTGTGTTTTTATATACATGAAAAGTCATTCCATGATTCTGTTGCATCCTTTACTAAAAAAAGCCATCAGTACACATTCATTTCTTTATTGCTTTGCTAATGAGTAAGAAATGTAGTAACATGAGTCCCCATTTTCTTTCTAATCCCCAGCAGTGCCTGCTGGATGTAAGAAGAGTTGTTTCCTCTTGCTGAAACGGTTTTGTCCTGATGACTCTGGAGATTTAGATTTTACACTAAACAAATTTTAATAGCAAAAGCTAAAATTGCTGTTAGCAGAGTTAGAATTGTCCAAAGCAGTAGAATTGCCAGAATATTGATGCTGTGTTGAATTTTGTGTTTTCCCATTTGAGATTTCCAGTGAATAGTGAAATAGAACACCAGATTTAAAACTCAGTAATTTTACATATCCTCCTACTCTGTGATGCAACTATTGGAGTGTAACATAAATTACTGTACAGACAAAAACATGATAGTGCTCTGGGCATGTTTTGAATAATAATAAGCACTGACTCATCCAAAAAAATTACATAATCATGAATGCAAGAACAACATGTTTAATTTGCATAGTACTTGAAATGCAGTTTCTTTCTTAGTTAAGTTCCCTTCTTTAATACACACCTAAACACAGAGGACTGCATTTATCTAAATTACCTTGAGTTAGTGCTTAGTGAATTCCAGTGTCTGCCAATCCATTTAAAAGGTGGGAAGGCACTTCTTGTAAAAATGAATTACTGTTAAATATCAAACAAACAAGTCATTCCTCATCCCTTTTCATAACTGTCACTGTCTGTGTATGTAAGGATCAAATTCAACTTCCATGAACCAAGAAAGCTGAAGTAGTTTTAAATAGTATTTCATCATAAAAAGCAAAAACAGGGGTTTGGCCTTTTTTTTTTATTTTTTCACCTGTCATCTCTTGTTTCACACACCATAGCCACCGGTGTTTTTTCTTGGTGACATTTTATTTTTTTTGTTTTCTTTATTCATTGTATTTCATTGCAAAGCATGCTTATGAAGGTCATTTGTCCATAATGATGTGGTTATAAAAGTGTTTTATTTTCCTTTTTTTTCTTCCTTTTATGTGGAATGTATATTTCTTGTGAGGTAAGACCCTCAGCACGTGAAAGGAACATCTTTTTTCTCTTCTCAATCCAAACTGCTGTTTGTCCTCAATCACTTTAATTTCTCCATGTTGTCACAAACCATTTGTTTCCAGTCTGCTTTCTGCCCTAGTAGTGCTGCCTTAGGTTTTATTTATAGCCCTTGCTTGTAGTTGCAAGAAATCTCTCATTGTGGGCTTAATTTAGAATACGCTGATTGCTTTGCTCCTGCAAATTCTTTAAATATTTGATTTGTATGCAGTATCTGTGATGAAAGAAAGATGAATCCAACTACTATTAAAAATCCATTGCAGGCCAAACGCAGCAGAGTCACGGAATATGTCCTGTAACATGCAGCAGTGCAGAGTAATCCGTGCTGGGCACGTTCCGAAGGACACGCAATAAATACTTGGTGTTATTGCTTGTGGTGCCCTCATTTTACTGCCTCTCATTTAATTGTTTACATAGAACATGGAGTGTTTGTCAAGCATCAAAAGAACTCAGAAGTTTCATGCACAAATTTAGTGGAATTTAGAGTCTGCAGCAGTCTCTAAGAATTTATTTCTGGTTTCCTATATTTTTGTAAGGGCTAAGGCTATAAAACAGGCTTTGAGAGCTATTCACTTCTGGGTTTTTTTGTGCTTAGGTTTCAGAAATATCTCCTTCCCTTTGCTTACCCTAAATAAATTCCTGAAGTTAATGGAGTTCCCACACTATTTGCGGTAATGTAAAATCTAAGGCCCTCTTGCCTCGGGTCCTGAAATCGCATATTGCCACAGGGAGTGTCCGATCTCCAAAGTATGTGGAGAACAATTTGGTTTTAATATTTACTTACATGTTTCTTTAAATAAAAACATGCAGCACAATACAGGCAAGCTTATTTTTGTTCATTTGAGCTGTAAAATGATTTTATATTTTCATTTTGGCCATATGGGAGTTCTAATGGTAGCGTTGGCTGTTGTCCATAGTTAATAAACCACATTTGGAGGGCTGATATATTAGTGAAGTTAGGAACATCAACCTGGCTTCACTTTTCAGGGTTTATTTCATGTAAACAACACAACAGTGAACAAAAGTCATTTCTGTACAGTTGCTGAGGTGGTCCTTCATTCTCTGTGCTGTAAAATGAGCACTTAGTGCAGATGCAGCTCTAAAATAAGCTACAATTACAAGAATTAGCTTTAAACATAAACCACATACTCAGTAACTCCGGTATCCTCAGCCAGTCTGAGCAGCCTTGGGCATGCAAGGTCCAATTGGTTTGGATATTGGGGGTTTTTTAAGATGAGGATGCCAGTAATGATGGGAGCTCCGTGTCAGGACTGTCTCACTTACATTTAGAACAGCAATTTCTTACAACCTGAGCTGTGGAACACTTTCTGATGGGAAGATTGGGTCATAAACAACAATAAAACCCCAATAACTGCAGGCTTGTTGCGTAATTTATTATTCTTCAAGTCTTTGGCAGTGATTCATGAAGCATTTACGCTTTAGTGAGTAGTTTATATGGATTTGGTAGGTCAGCCAGCACGTATTTCTGCCGTGAATGTTTTCAGGTTCAGAGCTGTGCTGTGCTTGTTTGCACGTTAGCCTTCCAAATTTAGTAAATTGGAATTACTCGATGCCACTTTTAAGTGGTGGAATTTGAAGCCTGGCATGTGAATAACGTTATGGCAAATGAAATTTTGAAGAAATTTGGTCAGTGTACAACACAATTCAGAAAATAGCATGTTTTCTTCATTAGGAGCTGAAGCAAAGCCTAGAACTTGGTCCTATTGCCTCACAGGCAACAACCCTTTGCAACAGCCCTTGGCTAGCAAATCCTCCTTCCTTTCTGCCTTGCAACTGTGCTGCCCTTCCCTGCAAGGAGGCTGATGCTGTAAGGGTGGGAAGTTCCCGGAGGGGAATCATTTGGTATTGGTACCAAAACTGAGATACCAGTGGGCTCTGCAGCCACCTGGTCCAAGTCCCTGCCACCAAAACAGTTCCTTTTCATAATGGATATATTCCAAGCTGCTGCTTTTACACTTGCCCTGCTTCCATTTCCTCTCTGCCACCCAAGGAGCTCTCTCCTTGTAGAAGTACAGTCAACCTACGGCTTTAGTCAATGGAAAAAGAGATATTGGATAATTCTAAGGATTGGTGGTTTCCTAAAGATTTTGTTCCCCTTAGTCAGAGAAACAACAGGAGGAAATAAAAGCTGAGAATATACCCAGATCTGGGGGGCACTGGGGGTTTGCTGCACAGCTGGGTGACTTCAGGGGAACCACCTGACACTGAAATTATTTGTCTCATTTTACAGCAGCCAAGAGTTTACTGAAAAAGCCAGATGGAGTTAAGGTAGGTTAAACACCTGCTTTCCATTTCAAAGACATGTTCTTAGTCTCTACCTATATCTAACTTCGTCCAGGTTTTAGAATTAATTATTGCTGTTTCCTTCCTTCATAGAATCTGTTAGTAAGTGCTTCTTCTCACTAGCTGTTTGGAGTGGTTAAAGTTAGTAGGTGAAGCTTAGAAATGAAATAAAGCTTAAATAAAAAATACTTGAAAAGCCAGCATTTAAGTAAGCAGCAGATAGAAAACTACTGGAGAAAATGCTTTTTCTTGCTTTTTTAATGAAGAACAATTATGTAATTAATGACTCAAAGTTATCAATTAACCTTTAGATAATGGTTTGTTGGTGGGCTTTTTAGGCACCAGTGTTTATGTGCAGCTCTGTTGCCTGTGTGTTTCCCCTTGACTTTCCCTTAGATTTCGTGGAAGACCAAAAGTGTACGGGTAGGCTTGGCTCCACATGAGGTGTGTTCTGCCAGATGTACTTGCTATATTTGGCAGAACTTGAGGGGTTTACTGTCTCAGATCAGCTCATCCTGACTAAGAGACCTTGCTAAGAAGGGAACATTTTGGCAGCTTTCGTACATGATTTAGAGCTCCTGTTCTCACATCACCAGACCCTGCAGGAGGAGAGATGCTTCACAAATGAACGTTCCATATAAATGCTTTGGAAAAAAAACAGGAAAAAAAATATCCCTCAGCAGAAAATGTATTTTGGTTTTTTTTTTTTTCTCAGGGGACTCTTAAAGACAAATGTAATGCCTCAAGCTTTCATTATAAGACTAAAAAGATATTCTTCTGTGCTCTGTGTGTTTACTCAGAAGGGTGTCTTTGACCTGAATTTTAATTTTCTATTTAATCTTAATGTCTTACTTTAACAAAACATTATAAATGCTCCCTTAAATACCAGATTCACAGTATATTTGTGTCTGACATATGCACACTTTGCCGATCAAAAAAATCCTGAGCCTGACCTACAAAAAAATGAGTACAGTACCATTTCAGTGCTTCTCACTGCCAAGCAGTGGAGATGCCAGTCACATGGAGAAGCACACATTTGGAATGATTCTATCACTGCTGGAAAACCCTGGACGTGTTTTATTGTGGAAAAGATAAATTTTATGCACTCTCTCTGACCAGTTTTCCTTTCTAAATATCATTCCTCCTACAGGTCTACAATGCTATTTGTTCTATCGCAATCTCAGTTAGAATATGGGAAACAATTGTTGCCAAAATTTTGCCTAAATTGAACCTGTTGGGATTCAATTCTTTGGTTTTCAGCACATGTTATGTGTCTGCTGTTAGTCTGCATGGTCATGTGGAGCAAAGGGAGTAAATGTACATCTGGGGAAGTCTGGTTTTGTCGTTGCTGTTATTGACCTACTCTGTAGCATTTTTCCACCCTTTCCAACAGCTGTAGCTGTCTTTTTCTTATTAAAAATTTAAAAAAGCCAAAAGAGAAATATACTGTACTCCATGCATTGATACTGCAAATCCAACCAGTCACGTTTTCTTCTTTTCCTTTCTCTCTGACTGGTCAATTCAGAAAAGGAAGTCCAGTTCGAGTGTTCAGATGATGGTGAGGATCTTTATCGACAGATTTTTTTTTTTTTCCTCCTGTGAAACATTCACACTTAGAAATCAAACAGTTGCATTTAGCTTCGTTAACATACTGTGAGAACTGCAAGACTTGAAAGTACAACCTTGCAGATTTTAAGCCTGCAGTTGCTATATGCCATCCACAGTGAATCGCTCAGCCATTCTTTCAAGCAAGTCTTTACTTTTTTTAACCTGGGGACGTAAAAAACCTAAAAAGAAGATGTAACATCAGCCAATGCAGCTGTTCTTAGTAAATAAGAATAGTAACAAAATAGTCATCTTGTAACAGCCTTCTCTTAGTTTTTAAAACCTCCTTATTTCAAAAGCTAATAGTATTAATATCATAAAATGTAACACAAAACACTTTGCATAGTGATACAGTACTGCATTAATTGAGCCACTGTAGCCCAAGATGCCATGCTAAATGCTCAGGAGTAAAAAATCCAATTTTCCAGCCTTCCCACACTAGAGTTTCCCAGCTAGCTTCCTTCACAGCTCAGGGCTGTGTCCCAAGATGTCCCAGCTGACAGTCTCAATAACTTTTCTTCCTCTTCAACCTGCTCTCCGGTCTTGTGTTCAGTTGGCCTCCGTGACCCCGCACGGTAACTTCCTCCATTGCTGTTTTTGGTGGTTTTTGAATGTGACCTTTGAGGTGTTGCTGAGGCTGGGCTCTGCCTGCTGCTGCTGCCGGCAGAGAGAAGGCACAAGGCCCTCATCCACACCTTTCACTGGGAAGCCAACTCTCCTTGGAAAGGAAAAACTGCTGGTCAGGTGTGAGCAGCTGTTCAGTCCTGTAGGTAAATCCTCTGTTCCTTGGGTGAATGCAGAATTCTATGACCATGAGCCACGGCATCCAAAGGAGGGTCACCGGGAAGGTGCAGCGTGGTTATCACCAGGATCCCAAACCCAAAGCGTACACTAACTTTTTGTTACAGAAATAACATGTGAAAGATAAAGCCCCAAGATACGGGCTTTGTTTGTTAAAATATTTTCATATTCTGTGGAAAAAAGGCCAATAATGATTTCTCCAGTCATGCCCAGCTGTTTGGAGTGTGTGTGTGTCTGTCCTGCACCATTGTCACATCTCAGAGAATGACTTTTGGCAAGCGATGCAGCAATGAAACATTCTCCTTCACAACAAACAGAAGGTCACTGGTTAAGCACAAATTAACTTTGAAGTAACTGTTTCATATGACAATATTGTAATCCTTTTGGAATTATTTCCCTTTGCTGTTAAAAATACATGCAAAATGAGCCATGTGTTGATAGATTCTCTGTTTTTTGAGAGAGAAAACATGTACAGCTTATTGCTGTTTTCTCTCAAAGGGTTTTACCAAGTTCTGATCACGTGGAAGAAATAACTGTATTTTGAATCACATTCTTTCTCTGTTCCTAATGAAGGCTGGATCCTCAATATCTCACTGAAGGAGTTTTGAATAGATTTCCTGCAGTTTTCAGCAGTAGCTGTAATGAATATTGTTTATTTTCATAGGGCTTCCACCAAGGGAGTATGGACCCAAGCCCGCTCTCCTTACTCAGGCAAAATTGGAATTGAACTTTGACTAACCTGTTTTCCTTGTGTGTTCAACCAAGAGCACTCATTTGGGATACCACTTGAGTTTTTGTGCTAAGCTATTACTGAATAGGACTGTTTGAAATTTGGTGAAATCTTTATTTCTTTCCTTAATGTTTTTTCTTTATGTCTATTTGCTTTTTGCTAGGGTCTTTTGAATCGTAGTCTCTCGATGACTACACTGTCACAAAAATATGTAGTTATGCAACTTGATATGCAATTTTTGTCTTACTTGGAAGGTTTAGTGTGCTGTCAGGCAGCCTTGTTTTTATGTTCCCACTCTTCTGCAGATCTCCAGTGGAACTTTTCATTTACTGAAATGGATGGGGTTTTCTTTCAAGTTTTTTCCTGAGTAAGGACTTCAGGGTTCTGTCCATCTCAGAATCCCATAAATACCAAAGCAAATAAAATACTTGCCAGTACTTAGATCTCCCCATGAAAGACTTTATGCACAAAGGTGTCTGTTCTCTCCCTGCCCTGACTTCAGACAGTCCTACAGCTTACAGCTCTAATTGTGCCTAGAGAAACAAAATTTATTTGATAATAACTAAACCAAGTTGGGGCTTAATTACTTGCAACTCAATAATGACTCATGTTCTCTTAATGACAATTTCTGGAGAAAGACCATTGCTTAAAAAATAACTGTTCCTCATCCTCCTGCTGTATAGCATCATGAACTTTTAAATCAAGGAAAATTATTTTTATTCTATACAAGAAAATGGTTTCTATCACAAATACTATTAAATAATATTTAGTGTTGACATAATGTTCCCTTATTAACTAACAGAACTACTTTATATTCTTCAAACCCAGTTAAACGCTGGTTAAAAATTAGAAAATTTGCAATCTGTAATTCATTACTGCAAATCCTGTGGACATTTCCATAATTTAAACGTATCCTAAGATTCACTTCAGCTGCAGGCTCAGTTCTTGAAATCCACATGTCAGCTGCCATGCCTGACCCAAAGTAAAATAATCATCAAAAAGTGCTGAGGACACAGTCTGTGAATTTCATTTCTTTCCGTTCTGTAAAGTTAATGATGTTTTTAGGAAAATCCATTAACAAAACAATTTCAGGCATTTCTGGTTTTGCTTTGCACATTTATTACTAAGAACTCTGACTAGAAGGTTCAGTAGAACTTCTTTTTTTGATCAAAGTCTTTTCAGATGATCTGTATCTCTACACATAATTCTGCATGATGCTTTGGACCACCGTTGTTAAAATTAAACATGACCAAAATGTATATAATATTTTTTCCTCATTTTTGTTAGAGAAGAAAAATACATCTTTCACACCAGTTTTACAATATTCAGATCTTGCTTCTTAGTGCATGTAAAAAGTGGCTCGCTACACTATTTTTAATATTTCTGTTCTTCCCATACCCCATGGTATTAATGAAAGTTAAATCTTAAAAAATGGATTTAAAGGATCAGATACTTTGAAACTTCCTGCTGAGCAGTTTAATTTGAATTAGTATTTTGTACAGAGAAAAGCCAGAATGTCTAGCACTGTGCTAAGCTTAAGAAGTATCATAAGGACCTATATGTAAAGTTAAGCTGAGAGGTGCTGATGGCTGGAGTAAAACTGCAGGTACCATAGTGGGAAACCTGGCACTTGTGAGTCACAGTACCAAAACTGAGAAGCTGCCGATGAGTCTCTGCTAAAAATAGCATCAAAAAAGCTAAAGGGACACTAGTCTCTTTCTGGCATCAATCATATTTATTCCAAAGTGGAATCACAATCCAGAAGAACAAATCACAGATTCTTGGAGCGCCTAGAATAATCAAATATTATTTATGGTAGGGATAATTCATTAGAAATAAAGAACTATTGGGTGCAATGACTTAACACCATTGCATGTCATGAAATGGCAGTGGCTATTTAGGACTTTGTTGCAACCCGTATTAATTCTTTATTCCTCTTAGATGTGCTTAGCTGCTACTTAAGGGCTCTCTCTTAAGTGTCTTGGCTCAACTCATCCGTCCCTTATCTAGGCCTTGGTGCAGGGCTCTGGCAGCCCGTGGGGAGGAGCTGCCAGCCAGCTCCCAGAGCTAGTGTTAGTGTTCCTGCAAGTTCCTAAGTTCATCTTTCTGTATTCTTTATTTCCATATCTATATCTATCTATAGATACCGATAGCTGTCTATAGATGTTGTGTGCAGAGATATAGATACGGTGCCTACCGTGAGTTCTAAGGCCTGTCTGTTTCTGTTTTCTGCATACCTACAGATAAACAACAAAACCAACGTGGTAACCAGCCCCAAGGAAAATATTCCTACCCCGGCGCTGGTATACCTGGAATTTTCCTTCTCATGCTATCTGGAAGTTTTTGACTGTCTTCTGTTTGTTCTTCCTTTTTTTTTTTTTTTTTTTTTTTTTTTTTTTTTTTTTTTTTCCTTTTTTGCTTTTTCATGCATTTACTCTGTTTGCTTTCTAAAAACAGGTTTTGGAAAACCTTTTTGTTTGAATTGTGCTGCCTTTTTTTTGTGAGGAAATCCATTAGAGCGTGTTTATTGACAGAAAATGTTAAATGGAAGCTGGATGCGGTAGAGTCGTAGCATTTGTAACCGTAGCTGAATTTTTTGCATGCTGTGCCGGAAAGTGAGTAGAATGCGCTTGGTGTTGCTCTTAGCTCTTTGCCTGATGACTGTTTCCACCTTCTAATGCTAACCTTTTGCACCAACAAAATTTTTAAAAATCAGCTCTTATTATTTTCTCGGCTTTGTCTTAGTCCAAGTATTGATATCCAGGAGAGCTAACAGGATTATGACTAGGCTGCCATGAAACAGACCTTATTCAGATTTTCATTCCGTATTTCCTGAAACACAGCAGGACTTTGCAAGTCTTCTCTGGGATCGAGAGGCATCTAGAGCTAAACATTTCGCTTGTTTCTCTACCATTTCAATCAGCAGGAGACATTACTCACTAATAAGCTCTGCTAAGGACATGTTACAAATCAAAGTGATGTTCCTGGATGTTTATTGCAGTCTCGCTTTTATTAATAACCCTATTTCTAAGGCACCTGTGTATCACGGGGCTCACCAGTGCAAATGCCAGTGCCTAAGTACATCATGTTGTGACCTGTTGTTTGCCATGAGTATATAAAACTTCAAAAATTCAGTAGTTCACACACATTTGGAAGCGTTTTTCCCCTGGCATTTTTTTGAGCAGCTGGCACTGAGGCACGTACAATAAGTCCTTCCCAAAGCCGAGCCAGCAGGTTGCATGCAGGAGTTTATGGCAGTCCATTCCCAGATGGAGCTGTACCCCATGGCCCATGCTGAAAGCGTGCTGGCCAGCTGCCATTTCAAAGATTATTGAACCTTTTCTTAAGGTCAAAGGATCTGGGGCAATTCCATTTATAAATGACACAAAGATCTCTCTCGCTCGCTTTTGTTCAGCTCTGCCAAGGCAGGAATTGAGGGCAGTCTACACATTCCAAAGCACAGTAGTGTCTAGGGGTACTCATCCTTAATCCTTATCAATTCTGCTGCATTTCAATTTGATTGCTTCATGCTAATGCGAGCAAACGTGATGAAAGAGAAGAGGTTATTAAAGCTTAAAGATCTGTGGCCGCCCTGCCTGTCCAGGTTCAGACAGGAAAGCACACGGAGCCTGCCCTTGAGCAGAGGAGCCTCGGCAGGTCCCCAGAGCTTCAAAGCCCTGCACACCCCGGTCCTGAATAAGGTCTCTGCATGCTGCTGCATTAGGTGAGATGGCCTTTTTTGCTGGCTTGCTGTTGAGGAAATCTGTGTTAGAGACATCCAGTTTCACCCCCTGGCGACAGTTAACATTTGTTTTAACTCTTGTCAGTGTTCAGCATTTGTGAGCTGGCTCTTCTTGCGCTCCCTCACACCAATGAAAATGTATTTACCAATGGGAACTCTTTCTCTCTTTATTTTGTTCTCGCTCAGGAGCCCCAAACTACAGTAATCCACAACCCTGATGGAAATAAGGTATTCAGAAAGAATCAACTCCATCTTGCTTTTCCACACCACACATTCCATCCACTATTTCACAGCACGATAGGGCCATTCCAACAACTTGTGAAGGAAAACTCATCTTTGTTATACCCAATGTCTCTCGAGCCCGTTTTCATCTGTGTCCATCTGCTGCGTGCGTCCTGCTGCTTCTGAGCTCCTGAAGCTCTTGGGGGAGTGGATAGCAATGGGCAGAGCTCAGTGCCCTGTGCAGCCCGGCTCGGGGAGCAGGGGGTCTCTCTCATTTCAGCCAAAAATGCTGCAGTCTAAGGGAGACCTGAGAGTGCTGTTCTCAGAGAACGGTGAGACGATCCCGGCGAGTTTTACGTGCAGTCATCGCCTCAGACCGAGATGTCATTTCAGTTTATCCCATCTGCTGTTTCTCAGCATGCTTAATACACTGTGTCGTGACATGTCTTTTGCACAGGACTTTGGTTTTCTTCCATAACACCACTGGGCAGTTTCCAAAAAAAAATTTCACTTTTCAAGTGACAAAGAGGTCTTTTGATTTTTACATGCTTTCTTCATGCTCTTTTCTTTTTCTCGTGTACTGTGATGTTTGCGTCTGGCAGCTGATCCCTAAAACGTGTTTTGTTTTGTTTTTTTCATGCATGGACTTGAAAAGGGCCAGGAAATACCATCATTTACATATAACACATGTTCCTAGGTTTCCTGAAAAGAATTTACGCTTCAACAAGAATTTCACTGTTTGCAGTGCTGACTTAATTCACATCCCATTTATCTAGTCTTAACGTCCTGTGGTTATTTCATAAGAGAAGGAGTGGATCTGAGTGACGAAATAATTATGCATGCAGACATTCCTCAAGCATGGAAGTGCTGATGGTGTGTGTTGTGCTTGTGTGTCCCTATCCTCCATGTCCCCTGCATCTGTCCAACACAGAACTTGTGTTTTCGTGTTACTACTCTTTCAGCTCGCCAAGCTCAAAGCCAAAGGCCATGAGCAGCCTGTGTTTGAACAGCAGGCTGATCTTTATCGCTGAAGTCCACTAAAGCCCAGAAAACCCAGATAAAATATTGGTGTGACTACATCTACTTGATTTTATTACATCATTTCAGCAGCTAAGATACTCAATGTCCCAAAAGGTCACAGCAAACAAATGAACCACTTAATGCGGAGAGTTCCTCCTAAATTTATCTGATCCTTGTAGTGTGGCAACTGGAGTGGATACTTCAGTGTTAGAGGATAAATCTGCCCTGTGAGCTTTGCATGGTGTTTACAGCTCGTATTTGTGTGAGGTTTTTGTTCACTTGTAAGTACTTTATCTAATATTTGAAGTGCTAGAGCATGATACGTCCGTGTAGAATGGAACGTCTAACACAGCCAGGGCAGGGACAGCATGGTGGCTCATTGAGTTTTGTTTGTGTGTGAATTAATTTCTCTCTAAGTTTGACTTATCAATGCACATTTGGGTTTTGAAGGTCTGAGTAATGCATTAGCCCTCCTGAACATTCCTTTGGCTCAGCCTTGTGAGGACACAGTAAATGAAGGGCACTGGCAAATTTACCTGTGGTTATTTAATTGTAAAATCCTTTCAAGAATTAAATGCAATACCAGTCCTGTCTTCTCTCTTAGATAAAAACAGATGAGCTCACCTTCCTTGTTATTGAGCTGCAAATTTAAAAAATTAATGTTTTCTTTCTCAAGAAAGTGTAGAGATAAAAAAAACCCACCTAGCTTAAAACTTTCCAGCTCTCTGCAGCTGTTAGATTTGACAGTGCCCTGTTGAATTTACCCATTATATTTCATGTTTCTGGTAATTAAGGAAAGACTGAGATACGATACCCTTGCCTTTTTAAGTGCAATGGCTTAAGAGTAAACTGTCTGATAGATGAGTCATTCCTCTGCATGACTGGTTGGTTGAAAAATACTGCTACAAAGATGCCTTAGTTTGTCAAAGTTGTTATCATACATTCATCAATTCTTCATCTCCCAAAAAAAAAAATTAATCAGTAAAAAAAAAAAAAAAAATCACAAAACCAGTATAAAAATGAGATAATCTGACCCAATATGCTTCAGATCACTGTGAGACTTCATTGGAATATACTTCCATAAGTCACATGAGCAGGAAATCAGTTGTAAATTGTAGCTTGCAGAAGCCTGCATATTTAGAAGGTGAAATTAGAATGGAATGACTGATTTTGCACAGTTGGTTTAATCACTAAGCTTAAAATGGCAAGCTCTCCTACTTGGCTGAGGTAATTCATACATTTCAGATGGACTTTGTACAGTTGGATGTTAAAGAAAAAAAACAACTTTCCTGTACATTCTTGTGAAGTAAAAGCATCAGAGTGCAGGAGTTGTGTTTCTGTTCCCTCCTGTGGAGAAGGGTGATGTTTGACATCCATTTCAGGTGGAAATGTCTCAATCAGTGTGTGACCATTTGTTTGTGAATGACATCCCACCCCGCTTCGAGGCTTTGCATGATTCCTGTAACTAATCCCCTCATTTTCCGAGGCACGCAAATAAGGCTTGGCTTGTTTTATACATTCCACTCATATTTACTTCTCAACAGGAATCAACAGAGAGTTCCAACACGACCATCGAAGATGAGGATGTCAAAGGTATGATTTTACCCTTGAAATGTTTGGAGAAGCAGTAACATGAGTTGGGTGGTTGTGTTTCAGTAGGCCATTAAACACAGAAACCCCTAATGAATCTCACCAGAGAACAGTGCTTTTCCTTGTTTAGAAGAGATTACTTTTGATGCCTTTCAGACTTAAGTTGAACTTTTCAGTTCCCAAAACATCGTTTCCCATGATGTTTTGGGAGTAAGAGTATAAAGTTACTGCTTTTTAACTAAGATATTAGTTCCAGTAATAGTAGAAGTAGATGACAAATGTCTAAGTCAGTCCTTTATAGCTCTTACTTAGTTTATGTTTAGCATGCATTTGTGTTTTGGGTTTGGTTTTGTTGTTTTTTTTTCATGTCACCATTTTGATTTTTATTCTGTTCAGATGCCAGTGTATTTTTTTTTGTTTCCTTTTGTTCTCTCCATACATTTGTTTTAATCTTCTTTAATTCCTTAAAAAACTGACATCAAAACTTTTTTTTATGAACTTAGTTTTGTAGCTTCACAGATAATATTTTTGTTCCCATTTTTCCCCCTCTAGACATTATGCTGTGATGTTACACATGCCTACTTGAATAGCATTATGCTTTAAAGTGTTAAGGGATTGAGAAAAGAGAGTATATTGTCTGATTGACAAAAAAAGATAGGCTTTTGGCCTCAAAGAACAATGGTTTATGTACAGGTGAAACTCGGGCCAGCAGTGATAGTAAGATAAAACAGGCAGAATGGATGCCACGAGGTGGTGGTGGTTCCAGTGAAAGGAGAGAACAATTACAGGGATCTGCAGCTGATGTGTTGGAAAATACAGTGTAATTTACCTTTAATCATAACACTTTGTATTTCTTCCTTCAAACTATTTGGTACAGTTTAATAGCTAAGCTTATGAAATGAATAATTTAATTATAGGGGCTCTGTGTGATGATGTAACGTAGTGTTATTACAGGAGGATTTTTAGAAAATTCTGTCTGAAGCGTAGCACACAGAATTGTACCTCAGGGGCATGCAATTATACAAAAAAAGCACAATGGAAATAATTTGCCTAGTTCTTTTATATGATTCTGCAGAATCACAGTTAAGGGCAAGTTGGACAACCACAATATACAGTATTCCCAAAGCAGAAAATGGGATTTTGCAGTAAGCACAAGTCTGAGGAACAAGATCCTGTTTGTGTCTTTCCCTGCACTGTGTACAGAGTATACATTCATTTTCTGTTTATTTAAAGGACAAATACAATCCCCCTCCTATTAATTGCTCATGAACTTGCTTGTTTTTCACTTTTTAGTCTTCCTCGCACACTTCCCATCTTTCCTCTGGAGGCTGTTGTTCATACTGTTCTATTATAAATTAAAGCTAACAGTGCCCCCAGGGTCTAATTTGTAGAATGATTCAGGGAATGGGCAGTCCTGCAACCCTGACACCTATTATAAGCTCAAGCTTCCTGCACTAGCAAGGCAGTTAGGAAAGGTTATTTCCCCCCCACACCAAGCTTGACTCCTGGATGTATATTTTGTGGGAGAACAGTGAAAAAGCTGTTCTCTTGTCAGCAACAGCCACAGGAGGTAAATGACTGATAGGGACAAATGGATTTCAGAGGAAGGAGAGAGAATTCTCCAGGTCCTTACACTTATACTCAAGATGTTTGTCACCACGGTTGAGACCTAGAAGGAATGTTTTGCACCTTAGATGATGAAGAACATTTAGAACCTTTTTGCTTTTCTTTGCAGCATGGCATACAGCATGGGAAGAGAGTCTGTCCTTCCTGGGAAGGAGCAGGGGCTGTGGCTGTAACTGAGCAGTATTAGAGTGTGTTTTATGGCATTGCAGTGTGATCCTCTCCTCCCAGGGAATGGCTCTGCAGAGGCTGCGCGAGTTATTCCTGCTCCCGGTATCCCAACACCTGCCTGCGCTGCCAGGGCCCCTTCATCCTGCAGCCTTCACGGGCTGAAAACATGCAGCTCTGCACCAAGGACTTTGTCCTTTGGTGTTGATTTGCCTCTTTGCAGAGGTGTGGCTCCCACGGGTCTGGGAGAGCAGGTTCACGTGCATGTCTGTGCCAAGTGTTGCAAATGTTGGGATTCAGTAAGAGAGGGAGCAATTAAAAATGTCTTACATCACCTATCATTAATGTATCCTAAGGATCAAATTCTCCTCCTGTCTGTCAGGGCTGCTTAGAGCATTCTCCTCTCGTGTCAGGATCTCAACCTGTGTTCACTTTTGGAGGCAAAAATGAGACGTTTCATTTTCTATTTACTGAAAATCTCCATGTCTGTAACTTCACTTTGTTAATGTACACAGTTACCTCTTCTAGGGCTACTACATATTTCTTTTACTAGAAACAGTGCTTGCCAAGCAGCAGTGAGCTTTCATAAGTCAAGCAAGAAACTGATTATATCATTTGAGTCTGAAATGACTTGAAGCTGTAGTTCAGTTCCTTGCTAAGATAAGTTTCTGACATTAGCCATCGATCATGGGCTTATCTACATGACAGCAATCCCTCCTAAATACGACGGGAGCGGACAGGAGGAACATGTTCAGAACTGGACTGGAGGCAGTGCCTTCTTCTGGGGTTGCTTATGGGATTTCTTCTTCCTATGGTAATGAGACTGGAACTATTGGGCAGCATCTCTGTGGTACAGGTTTGGTCTTGCAAGTGATGCTATGGAATAGCACCATTATTTTTGTCCACAGATTTTCAGAAAGGTGAGTTGTTAAATTTACCATGGGCAGGAGGTGTGGATTTCTCACGGTGTCTTTGCCCCAAGAGACAAATTAACCAAGGCATTAGTAAGAATGATGCTTGGCAGTGGGGAAAATTGCTGAGTTGTAAGGCACTTACAGATCTGACAAACTATGACCTACCTGTGCTGCTTAATATATCTGGAAAGTACATTGCTTCAAAATTTTTAATATATTTGTAATTCATTTTATGCCTGTTGGCCTAATTTTATTTAACAGTAGAAAGAAAGCAGTTGAAACTTATATCTTTTGAAACATATTTCTTTTGGAATATACATTCCTTAAAAATCATTCAAATTTCTAAGAACACTTTTTCCAAAGCTCTTTCAAAGCCCATTGTATCTGAGTACCAGATACAGGGGTAATTCTGTGCTGGCATCTGAACAGAGTCACTCACACCTACAACCTTTACAACTGTTCTTTGGCACCCACACTACCCCTGAAAGTACATCATTAACATTGTTTGTGTGCTCAAAGATTTTCTAAGTTCTTGCTGCTTCTAATTAAATTATCATTATTTTTCTTTTGGCCTTCTTTTTTTTCTTCCTTCACATGTACTTGACCCTCACACAGCTTTCACAAAGGAGGAGGACATGGAGAGGTTGAGTTCCACCCACCACTCCTCCTCTTCCATTGCTTCTTCATCTCTCTGGTCACCACCTTTGCCGTGCCCCAGAGGCCGCTCCTGCTGCCAGTGCCTGCTGAGGAGTCTGATCACACTCTACCTCTTCATCTTTGTTTGTTCATATGTTGTGTTTCTTTCCATCAATTCAGCGGGCAAGTCTATGAGAAATGCAAACTCAGAGAGTCAATCGCTTGAGTCTGAGCTCTCCCACTCCACTCCTTCCTCTGTACTATGTAAGTTGAGAGACTCATCTGTCAGATGATGTCCTTTGTCTCTCCTCTTCCCTTCCCACCATCTGACAGAAGCTCAGAAAAGGTCAATGCTGTGATCTGCCTGATCTAGGAACAACCTGTGCTTAGCCTTTACAAAAGTAAAATTTTTTAGGTATTTTTTTCATGTTATTAATTGTGAAAATATTTCTACCAGCTGTAACACCTGGATAAATGCATCTGTATTTCAAAAAGCTGTATCTTACAGGAGTAACCTTTGCAGTAGTTTTCAGCTTAGGGAGAGATTTGCCTCACTTCTTGCTTGGATCCTGCATAGGGCCTCAGCATTAATTACCTGTTATATTTATTATATCAAGTTCATTTCTTGAGCATCCCCATTGATTAACCAGCCTTGAAGCTGCTGTGGCAGGTGTGAATTTGCAGCATTGATCCCCATCAGTGGGGAATGGGGAATGTCCTCCTCTGCTCAGGAGGAGATCTGTGATGATCAGTGACCAACTGTGACCGTAAAGGAAACCTCCAGTATTAAAACACGAGGGGAGAAAGTCACTGTGTGGTAGAATGCCAAGGACATTGATAGAGCAATTATTGATTGTAAATGAACTCAGAAATTCTTTAAAAATTCCTTAGAGAGGCAGGACCATGTGAGTTAAAACAGGGAAATGACTTCCCTGGAATGAGGGCTCTGCTTGCCAGATTCTGATCCCACGGCCAGTGTGTGTCAGGGCACTTGCACTCGTGGTAAGAACAAGCATTTGCACAGGTAAAAGTGAGATCCAGGCAGGCCCTTGGGAACATGGGCTGTGTGTTATTGGCCTGAAGGTTATTTTAAATAGGAGTGGAATTTTTGGTGGGGTCAGCTAATGCAGGTGAGAGGAGCCGGTCCCGGAGAGGACGGGCTGTCTCTGGTCACACATGTTGCTGGGTAATGCCAAAAGCGTAGCTTCATTCTGGGAAAGGAGCAGGATAGTGTGAAAAACGAGGTTCTTTTTTTTTTTTTTTTTTTTTATAGAATTTAAAAGCTTAATGAAAAGGCAATCAGGAGATAAAAATAAAGAATACAGATATGGCCGGGTGTCTCTGCATTCAGCCAAGAGAGCACACCTACTAACAAAGGATTGTCCCTTAAAAACAGAACCCTACTACATATCCATAAATTCTCATACATATTCAGACATTCTTCTTAGGATTTCTTGGTGTTCCTCTGTTTAGTTTTTCCTTGCCCCCCCTTCCCAATAGATCAATCTTCTAGGCACCACTAGGTTTTATGTCCTTCAATAACGGGTGCCATAAATTTTTCTTTTGGAGGGCTTGGAGGACTGCTTGTCTTCATCTGGACAAGATAATTTTAGGATGCAGGGGGGTCTCTGACTATTTTCTTTTTTAGTCTCTGGGTTATAT